GAGAGAGAGAGAGAGAGAGAGAGAAGGGAAGACAGAGAGTGAGAGAGCAGACACAATGCCAGCCAGAAATGAGAAAGCTCTCTATACTGCCTTCTCTTATCTCAGAAATTATTGTGTGGACGGATGGGTGGGCAGTGGTTTGTCACATGACTACACACACACACCGACGCACTCACACACACACACACACACAAGGAAGAAAAAGAAAGAGAGAGAAAAGGGGAAAAAGAGAGAGAGAGAGAGAGAGATGAGGGAAATGCAAACATAGAGGAGAGAGAGAGAGAGAGAGAGAGAGAGAGAGAGAGAGAGAAAAGAAGAAAGAAATAAAGAAATAAAGAAGAAAGAGAGACAGACAGACAAACAGTGTCCCTACCCCCCCCTCCCAAAACCTCAGCAGCCAGCCATCATGTGAGTGTGAGAAGTAGCCGGCGCTCACTGACAAGCCTTATCTTATCTCAGGGCCAGGTCTGTCAACCCTAATTCACTCCCTCCATCCCGACCTCATAACACGATTACATCGGACGCACAGCACACAACACACATGACACATCGTTTAGTTTCAGTCAGTGTTTTACGGCACTTGCAACACAAAAAAAGCTATTTAAGCGCCGAAGATTAGAGGTGTTACAAGAGAGTAACAAACATAAAAAAAAGAAGGTGGGGAGATAAAGACGATAGATGTTTGATAGGAAAGTAGAAGGAGTAGAGAAAAGGACGATAGATGTTTGGTAGGAAAGAAGGAGGAGAGATAAGGACGATAGATGTTTGATAGGAAAGAAGGAGGAGAGATAAGGACGATAGATGTTTGGTAGGAAAGAAGAAGGAGAGATAAGGACGATAGATGTTTGATAGGAAAGAAGGAGGAGAGATAAGGACGATATATGTTTGACAGGAAAGAAGAAGGAGAGATAAGGACGATAGATGTTTGATAGGAAAGAAGGAGGAGAGATAAGGACGATAGATGTTTGGTAGGAAAGAAGAAGGAGAGATAAGGACGATAGATGTTTGATAGGAAAGAAGAAGCAAACCGCACCAGAGCACCCGTCAACCACCCAGACGACACGAAATATCACACATCGATTTGATCGCACACCAGTCAAAGACAATAAACTACAGGACACAATTGCTTAATTGATCTTGGGGCATTGTGCACTTTTTTTTTGG